CCACAAAGTTTGGAAACAGTGTATTCAACAACTAAACACCCCCCCCCCATTTTGTTACAGTAGGTCCCTTCGTTGATATATCTCAAAACTGGCACAAACTTGAAATAACCAGCAAACAAGGCATGGAACCACAGGTTTTCCTGATTGAAGCTCACGCTAGATTCAGCTTCCTCTCTTCCCATCAACATCAGCCTGCTGGTTAGATTGGAAACAGGACCTGACCAGAAACTATTACAGTCACTGCAAGTCCAAAGCAGAGAAGGGCAAAACCAAAAGCAAAATCCATGCTGTTGAAAAACATTCATCTATAAAAAGTGAATTCTTCTACCTATCCTATACATTACTACTCAATTCATCTCCTAAAGCAGTCAGGGTCTTGAGACAGCTAGTCACACACTATGTCATACACAACCACTAGCAAGACAGAAAAAAACAGAACAAAATGAGAAAAAAACCACTTAGAATGCATGGGGCCAGTGGGGGGGTGTTAAGCAATATTTGGACAATTTTATGCAACAGTAATGGAAGTGGGACAGTATGGCAGATAGTATTTCAACTTTGCTACAAGTACGTGCTACAAAAATTTTCTTTCAAGCGTATGTCATCTACCTTTCAGTAAGGTCTGCTATCACTCTTTAATTTTTTTATTTTTAGTGTTCTTCACACAATAAGGTATTTTAGAGGCATTCATACAGATGTCCTCCAAACCTCTTTTTTGTCAGTATTATATGCATCACTTTTCCCATACAAAACATAAATTCTGTTTCATGCTATAATGACCTCATCTGATCAGAAAACACAGCTTTTTGTTTTGTACAGCTAAAAAAAAAACCATCTTTGAGAGAAAAGTTTAGGGCTAGATATTTGTGTGCATGATTCTTTTTTATATCTGTAAACTGGAGAATTATAAGAAAATCAGAAGTCCAAACTTCCTATTTCAAGGCAGAAACTAACCTGAAGAAAGATTTAATAGGTCATACTTAAGTTAGTTACTCCATGGATACTCTTCTCAAAAGCAGCCGATATTTGCCAGTGTCAAACCAGGATGCTAGATTAATAAACATTGGTTCAATCTACTATGTATTCCTATACCACTGAAAAAAGCACCTGGTAACATTACAGTGAAAGCATAAAACAGACAAGCAGTAACAATAAGCTTTTTTTAATGCATTCTCCACTTTTGGAGATAAAACACACAGGAACCAGGCACTCTTCTGCTCTTGAGAACAGTTTCGGTGCCTAACTGATACTGTAGAAGTTACTTGGCTGTCTGTCGTAAGTGGGAAGATCAGACCAACAACTAACTCTTTCCTCCTCCTCCTCTTCACACAGCTGCCGCAGGGCTGGGTAAAAGGCCAAACAAGAGAAACCCTCCCATGCAAAGTCATGAAGCTGTGACCACAGCAAGAGCCAGGAAAGCAGGGCGGGTGCGGGTTAACCAAAGCACCCATGCAAACACCAGGTAAGGTCTGCCATCCTCAAATGGCTCCCAAGTCAACCAGGGGACAATCTCTTTCAGCTCTCATCACCTGAGTCTGCACAGTGACATTTCAGATGTCCGACTCCTACGACCGAGGAGCTGAGAGAAGCAACACAACTGTGCTCTGCAGCGGCTGGCTAGCAGCCAGCAACTTTTCCCCCAAAAAATACTGTTCACACAGGCCCTGGTCGGAGACTGTGCTGCTTCCCATCTTTTTACTTTTTTAAATAGGAAGTCTATCCATCTATTCATCTCATTCATATGTTAGGTAGTTGGTTCTGGCGCCCTGGGATTAAATACTGTATTAGAAGCTACATAGCTATTAAGATAGCTTTTTAATGTCTTTTATGAGCAACAGCATGCACCTATTCTTTTGGGAGCTAAGTAGATCCTATGCAGATAAAATGAAAAGTTAATACTTCACGTTGCATATCCAAATGTCACTACATGCCATGCTCACTTATTTCTTTTTATAACTAGTTATAGTCATTAATTTTTCAAGAGGGACAACTTGAAGAAATATTTTCTTTAGAAAATAGCTCGCTTACCTCAATTACAGCTGTTTCAATCTAATTATCAGCTACCAAAGCACACTCAAAGTAGCTGGTCAGTCTTGACTTTTTGATTCCTTATATAAGAAGTACTTAAAAATATTTAATTAAAACTAGCTTATAAATGCTATTTCTCACAAGTCTGACGGTACGTGTACTTTCTTCAGAGCACAATAATGCATTTGTAGTCAGAAAAAGCAACAAAGCTAGCACACTCTCACAGCTAAACAATACAATCTCACCACTAAACCCCATCCTACAACAATCTTGTTTGTATTTAAAGGAAGTTTTTATTTAACTGAGAATAACTATTCATATTTTATCTATTTTTAGGGTATCTATGGAGTGCAGCAACTATTCCTAAATTCAAGTAAAATATGATGCCTGGAAATCACCACCCTGAAGAATACAGGATTGCATCGCTGGTCTTCTACAGTTTTGTATTCACAGTGGGATTGTTGGTGAATGCCACTGCACTATGGGTTTTCAGCTGCACTACCAAGAAGAGAACAACTATAACTGTATATATGATGAACGTGGCATTACTTGACATAATTTTTATATTTTCCTTGCCTTTTCGGATAATCTACCATGGGAAAGAAACGTGGCCTTTCGGAGATACATTCTGTCGGATTATCAGCGCTTTCACTATATTTTATCCAGCCATTGCTCTGTGGTTGCTCACTTTTATAAGCGTAGACAGATTTATGGCTATTGTCCAGCCCAAACATGTCAAAGAACTAAAAAATACAAAAAAAGCTGTGCTGGCTTGCACTGGAATCTGGATAATGACCCTCGCAACAACGTCCCCATTGCTGTTTTTACAATCTGATCCAGACAAAGCCTCGAATTTCACCACCTGCATGAAAATGCTTGATATCATCCATTTAAAGGAAGTAAATACGTTGAACTTTTCTCGCTTGATTTTTTTCTTTTTGATTCCCTTGTTTATCATGATGGGGTGTTACTTAGTCATTATTTACAATTTTATCCATGGCAAGACTTCCAAACTGAAGCCTAAGGCCAAGGAGAGATCCATAAGAATTATAGTTACTCTGATTGCTCAAGTGCTCATCTGCTTTGTACCCTTCCACGTTTGCTTCACCTTCCTGATGTTGCAGAACGAAGATACAACTTACAATCCCTGGGCAGCCTTTACCACCTTTCTCATGAATCTCAGTACATGCTTGGACGTTATACTGTACTATATCGTTTCTAAACAATTTCAGGCGAGAGTCATCAGTGTAATCCTTTATCGCAATTACCTTCGAAGCGTGCGCAGGAAAAGTTTTAGAACTGGGAGTGTAAGATCACTCAGTAATATGAACAGTGAAATGATATAAAAAGAGAAAAAAAAACATCGGGGGACTTTTATAGTGTAAACAAGTGATTCTTTTTCCGAATCCTAGCATTGTTATTACACTGAAGAATGTTCTATAGCCAGAAGTAACAGCTATATTGCACTGTGGATATGAGAAAAGCAGAACAGTAATTGCATCTCTTTATATTTGCTCAACAGCTTTTGTAAACCTGAAAGGAACTAAAACCTAGTACTGGTGTTAAAATTTCCAATGCTCTTGTCATCTCAAAAGATTGTGAATATTGCCAGACATGAAAAAGTGACTATTAGTATAATAAAGCAGACAATGCTGAAGAATTATGATGCAAGGTATATATTAATTTTTTATATTTGCACAACCAAATGCTCCTGAAACTACTGTATATCCCACACTTCTAAAATTAGCTTCATTCTCTCAAGATCAATGTTAGCATGACTTAAATAGGAAGCATATGTAGTTAACATTTATATTTCATTCAACTAAAAAATTCTTTGATGCAGATTTCTTTGAAACTGACAACATTCTGCAGTCATAGACAAAAATACCATCAAAGGGCATAATAATCAAACTGTTCATTAGCTCCCTGTGGGTATGATGTGCACATTAATTACACCTTACTCTTGCACAAAGTATCTTTTTACACAGATGAAAATACTGAATTTGTCCAGACACACTAGCAGCCTATGTCCCAGCAACAAACTTCAAGGTAGCAAACATGATGAGTAACTGCAGTACTACTCAAGCTTTCAACTTGTTTTGAATGCTCACACACTACAAAAAAAAATATATCTTTGTAACATCAAACACATGCTTTTTCTTCCTTATTAAATCAGCCTTTAGCTACTTTCAAGAGACACACTAAAAAAGTAGAACTAAAAAAAGCCTAATATGGTGTTTAATATTAAAAATCTCACTCCAAGAGCTTTTATTATTAGCTCAGAGTGTGCAGCACATGGAAACTCAAGTCTGTATGAGGCTGATCTCACCTGTCAGAAGCTTAACCACAACGGCTCTGCAAGCTCTACGGTTCTACTGTACATCTCTTAAGTGCAGAAATCTCAAATATAGGTTATGCGAAACCGAACCACTAAATACCTTAAAGCTTTAAGAACTTCAGATGCAAGCACCGAATGGAATAACATGCTCTAGCACTCAATTTTTGAAACACAAGCATACAAAATACCAGTATGAAATGCATATAACTGCATATGCATTTAAAAGTGAACATAAAGATATGAATTACATTTGTGCTGTCTTTGTGATTTAAGAAAGAAATCAGGACCAACCTGATTTCACTTTTCAGATTTACCGAATTGAACAAAACCAAATACAGCAATAATTTGTGCACTGCAAGCTGCATTTCAATCATGCTGACAGTGGAAATGGGACTAACAGAATGGAAAGTAATCACTACATGGATAAATTACAAATTAATTAACCACAGATCACAACTAGGAAATGAATGTTTGAAAATAATAGTTGTGCCAAGAACCTTTACACAGCAGTTTAAAAGAGGATTATATTTAATTTGAAGGGTTACATGAAGAAAGTTCTTCTAAAATTAAAATCTGCACAAAATAATCCCTTGAAACTATATCTAAAATATCCAGTCCATTAGGAGCTACTTACAAACCAGAAGGCAAGCTGTTGATGGTGATGCCAAATATATACTGAGCAATTTCTACAAGGAGAAGATCAAACAAAGCTGAGAGCATCCAAGCACCCAGTAAAAAGGACTGGAAAGAAAAAGTTTAATTTTAATTAATTCAACAGTTTAAAAATAAGGTTTTAATGAATCTCTAAATAAAAGAAAAAACAAGAAAACCACTGTACTAGTTCAATTAAGGCAAATAAAATCTTTAGCACAACATAATTCGAGATCTACATGTCTAGATACTGAAGAATGAAGTTAGGTTTGTTACCAAAATTAAACTCTATGCATCTGATAACTTTCAACTGATACAGCTGCAAACTTTAATTAGAATAATCCACTGACTGCAAGATATTATCAACATAAATTTAGATTTATGGAAACCAAATTCTCTTTAAAACACTTCAATAGTTAGTAATAAAACTGCAATATTAATCCAAGACTATAAGAACAGTGTAGAAAACAGTTTCTGTTAAAAAAAAATGTAACTGGAACTTACCGAAAATTTTCTGCTGCCATATCTTCTTTCAAATATTCTAAAGTTGTAAATGAGCAGACTGCTGCAGAATGTGTCTTTCAAATCAAGACATATTGTTCTCCCACATACAAGCCTCCAAATCTAGAAGGTTAAAGATTATCATGTTAAGCCTCTCTTCCTTCAAGGAAATTTTTTACAGAATTTGTGCTCAGAGTGAATTTAATACTGAAGCCAGATAACACAAATGCAGTACATTTAAGGAGGCAAATAAAAAGAGTAGAATATTATGGAGAGTTCAGGAAGTCTGTTTAAATATAAAATATTTTCAAGGAAGAGGTCTACCTGTTAAAATAAATCTACAATTGAAATGAAGTCAAATACATTTTTATGTCCCTAGTTCACGTTTACAAATAAAAATGGGAATCACAACCCTAGCATATTGTAGAATTACAGAAAAAAAAATTTTTTTGAAGTGAACTCCAGATACCAGCTATTCCAGTGTACTGCTGTAAGCAGGTCTTATCAGATCAGCTTGCTTGGGGCCATGTCAAGTCGAGTCTTGAGCACCTCTAAAGATGGAGATTCCACAACCCCTCTGGGCAACCTGTGCCAGTGTTCAGCCACCCCCATGGTTTAAAAAACGAAATCAAATCCTTACATCTAGGCAGAATTTCCCATGTTCCACCTTGCATCCACTACCTCTTGCACTACCTCAGTGCACCTCCAAGCAGAGCCTGGCTCCAGCTCTCTATAGCTTCTGATCAGGTACGTGCAGACAGCAATAAGGTGTCTCCTCTTTGCCTTCTCGAGGTTTGGCAGACCCAGTTCTCTCAGCCTCTCTTTGTATGTCACATACTCCAGCCCTCTGACTGTCTTGGTGGACCCCCTCCAGTGCGTTCATATCTTTCTTGTACTGGGGATCCCAGAACTGGGCACTTGTGAGACCACATCTAGAGCACCGCGTCAGCTAGGGGAGTAGGGTCACTTGCCTCGACCTACCGGCCACGCTCTCACTAATACAGTCTAAGAGATGGTTGGCCTTCTTGGCTGCAAGAGCACACTGTTGACTCCTGTTGTCCACCAAGATCCACAGATCCTTCTCTGTAGAGCTACTTTCCAAGCACTTGCCCCCCCCAAGCCTGCACTGTTGCAGCCTGGGGTTATTCCATCCCAGAAGCAGGACTTTCCACTTCCTGAAGTTCCTGTCAGCCCATTTCTTGGGCTTGCCAAGGTCTCTCTGAATAGCAGTCCTGCCTTCCAACATATTGACCATTCCCATCAATTCTGGATCATCCACAAACTTGCTTAGAGTGCACTCCATCCCATCATCCAGGTCACTAATGAAGACATTAAATAGTACTGGTCCCAGTACTGATCCCTGAGGGGCTCTCCCCTAATTAATAACTGCTGGTGGACATTGCACCAATGACCATAACTCTGTTAAGAGTCCAGTCAATTTTCCGCCCATCTTCTTGTCCAGTTATCAGTACATACCTCACCAATCCGGTTTCAAGGACACAATGGGAGACTGGGTTAAAGGCTTGAAGTCAAGGTATGCAAAATCCACTGACTCCCCCTTGTCCCCAGCACCACTTGCCTCATGGAAGAAAGCAACCAGTTGGTCAGGCATGCTTTCATAGACTCATAGAATGGTTGAGGTAGGAAGGGACCTCTGGAGATCACCTAGTCCGACACCTTCACTCAAAACAAAGTCAACTAGAGCAGCATGTTAACTGACCATGTCCAGTCTGGTTTTGAAAATCTCCAAGGACGGAGACTACACAACTTCCCTGGGGAACCTGTTCCTCTGTTCGATCAGTCTTACAGTAAAAAAAAGCTTTTTCTTTAAATGGAATTTCTTGTATTTCCATTTGTGTCCAATGCCTCTTGTCCTTTCACTGGGCCTTGCTCCCTCTTCTTTGCTCCCTCCCATCAGGTATTTACACATACTGGTAAGATCCACCCTGAGTATTTGCACACATTGAAGACATCCCCCTGAGCCTTCTCTTCTCCAGGCTAAACAATCCCAGCTCTCTCAGCCTCTCCTCATACGCCAAACGCTCCAGCCCCTGACCATACTGGTGGTCCTCCGCTAGACTCTCTACAGTATGTCAAGGTCTATCTTGTACTCAGGAGCCCAGCACAAGGGACAGCACTCCAGATGTGGTCTCACGGGGGCTGAGTAGAGAGGAAGGATTGTCCCACCAGGCCTCCTTGTGAGGCTCTTCCTAATGCAGCCCAGGATGCTGTTGGCCTTTTTAGCCACAATGCTGCATTGCTGGCTCATGTTCAACCTGGTCTCCACTAGGACCCCCAGGGCCTTTTCTGTAAAGCTGATTTCCAGCTAGTCAGCCCCCAGCTTATACAGGTGCATGGGGTTACTCCTCTCCAGGGGCAGGACTTTGTATTTGCCTTCGCTGAACTTCATGAGGTTCCTCTTCTCCCCTCTGAATGGCAGCAGAACTAACTGGTATATCAACTCCTCATACAAATTTTACATCATCCTCAGGCTTGTTGAGAGCACACTCTCCTGCTGTCCAGGTTATGAATGAAGACACTAAACGGTATTGGCTCCCATACTCATCCCTGGTGCACACCACTAACAACTGGCCTCCAGCTGGACTTTGTGCCACTGATCACAACCTTGTGAGCCCACCAGTTCAACCACGTTTCAGTCCACTTCACTGCTCACTTATCTAATCTGTACTTCATCAGTTTGTCTGAGGATGTTATGGGAGACAGCGTAAAAAGCTATACTAAGGTCAAAATAAACAACATCCATTTCTCTCCCCTCACCCACCAAGACAGTCATCTACCTCATCATAGAAGGCTATCAGGCTGGTCAAACAAGATTTTCACTTCATAAAACTGTGCTGACTACCCCCAGTCACTTTACTGTTCTTTGTGTGTCTGAACATGATTTCTAGGAGGACTTGTTTCTCACCTTCCCAGAGATCCAGGTGATGCTGACTGGCCTGTAGTTCCCCAATCTCCTTTCTTGCCTTTCCTGAAGATAGGAATGACATCCGCTTTCTTCCAGTTCTCAGGAACTTTCCTTGATCGCAGTGAGCTTTCAGAGATAATCCAGAGTGGCCTCACAATGACATGAGCCAACTCCTTCAAAACTTGTGGGTGTACACCATCAGGTCCCATGAACTTGTGTACGTCCAGTTAGTTTAAATGTTCCCTAGCCTGATCCTCCTTCACTGAGTTTAAGCCTTCATTGCTCCAGACTTTCGCACTAATCTCAGGGGCCCGGCACTGCTGAAAACAAGTCTTACTAGTAAAGAACTGAGGCAATGCAAGCACTGGATACCTCAGCCTTTTCCATGTCTTCTGTCTCCAGGTCCCCATTCCCAGGCAGCAGCAGGCCCACATTTTCCTTAGTCTTCCCTTTGCTGATATTCCTGTAGAAGCCCTTCTTGTTGCCTTTCATGTCCTTCATCAGAGCCAACTCCACGTGGGCTTTGGCTTTCCTAATCCATCCCTGCATGCTCAGACAGTGTCTTCGTATTCATGACTTCCCAGGTCACCTGATTTGCTTCCACCTCTTGTGTGCTTCATTTTTATGTTTGGGTTTAGTCAGGAGGTCCTTGTTCATCCATGCAGGCCTCCTGACACCTTTGCTTGACTTCCTGCACACTGGATGAGCCAGTCTGCTCTCCTGAAGTCCAGGGTCGCAATCCTGCAATTTGCCTTGTCCCCCTCTCTCAGGACCCTGTACTTCCCCATCTCACTGCAACCAAGGCTGCCCCTATCTTCACACGCCCAACCAGTTCTTCTTCCTTGTTTCTAAGTATGAGGTCCAGACACAGCTCCCCTCATCAGCTCCTCGATCATGTCTTAGGAGTTGCTATCAATGCACTCCAGAAACCTCCTGGACTGCTTGTGCCCTGCTGTGTTGCCTTCCCAGCACATATCAGGACGGTTAAAGGCCTCTATGAGGGCCAGGGCCTGAAATCATGAGGCTTCTTCCAAGTGTCTGAAGAAGGCCTCATCTACTTCTTCATGATCAGGCAGCTGGTAGCAAACACCACCACCACCAAAGTTGGCTGTGCTGGTCTGCTCTCTAATCCTGACCTATAAACTCTCAACTTTCTCATGTCCCAGGAAAAAGCTCTATGCAGTCCTGCTGCTCTTTTACATAAAGAGCAATTTCCCTCCTTGCCTGTCCTTCCTAAAGGGCTTGTATGTGCCTGTTCCAGCACTCCTATCACATGAACTAACCCACCACATCTCCGTGACCCCAGTGAGATCGTAGCCCCGTAATGGCATATGACCTTTAATTCCTCTTATTTGTTCCCTATGTAGCATGCACTAGCATACAGAGACTTCAGAGAGGCACCCAGTCATGCTGATTTCCCAGAAAACGTATGGGAGTGTTCCACATAACGCCGTCCCATAGGCACTTCCTTATTTATCTGCATACACTTGAAGTAGGTCCTTTTCAGTCCTGTTTTGTTGATTACAAGATCCCTTCTGTTCACATCACCCTGTACCCTTTGCTGGCTAACCCAGTCCACTGCCTTCTCACTTGACTGTGGGTTGTCATCTCCCTCCTGTGTTGTTCCTGTCTTAAAGTTCTCCTCACCAGGCTGGCCTGCCTGTTAGCAAAAACGCTTTTGTCCCACTTGGTCAGGTGGATCCCATCTCTTCCAAGTAGTCCTCAATCCTCACAGAAGGTCCCATGGGCACAAAACCCTGTTGCCAACACCAGCTGTGCAACCAATTATGACCAACAGGATCTGTCCACTTCACCTCAGTTGGCTGCTCCCAGTCACCTTTGTCTCCTGCATATGTTGAGAAATGGCTTCTAAAAAGATTTGCTCCATGACCTTCCTAGGGACCAAGGTAAGGCTGAGTGGCCTGATGTTACCTGGATCCTCCTTCCTGCGCTTCCCAAAGATGAAAATGGTGTTTGCCTTTCTCCAGTCATCGCATACCTCCGCCAATTGCCAACCTTTCAGATACGCTAGAGAAGGGACTCACAATTACATTTCCAGCTCCTCTGCCACCCTCAGAGGCAATCTGTCTAGTCCCACTAACTTGTGTGTGTATAGTTGGGTTAAGTGATCCCTAACTCTATTTTTCTCAACGATGGATACTGTTTCACTCTCACAGAGTCTGCGAGGAGGCTTGGGGACCTTGGAGGCCTGAAAGCAAAATATGCTAGTACAAACCAATAAATATATCTGCCTGAATACCTCAGCCTTTTGCATACCCCTTGTCACCTAGGTCCCCTGCCACAATGAGGACTGGGCCCACACTCTCCTTAAGCCTTTCTTTTGCTGCAGATGTACTTACAGAAACCTTCCTTGCTGCCCTTCACCTCCCTCGCTCCCTTGTTTCCAGCTCAGCTTTGGCTCTCCCAGCTCCCCTTCCTAAGCCACAGCCTGCTAGGCATTCTCCCTTCCATGGAAGTCCAAGTGCCAACACACTACCTGAGTCTTATGTTTCTCAAGGTCTTTAGGCCTCAACAGATGCTTCTGCCTCTAATTTCCCCGGGACACCAAAGGACTGAACAAGAAGAAAGAAGCGGGACCTCACCGTTCTGGTTGTCCCATGTCAACATGCCCGATGTTAAAACCTAGCCAGTGGCTTGAGTACCACCCCTCCTGAAGTCCAAACTGGCAGGGCTGTGACCTTGCAGCTGAACATTTCATGATACACATTAACTGAACAGCCCTCGCATAGACTAGGGAAGTCTTCTAAGTCTAATTGCACTTGACTTTAGCCAGCCTAAAAAATACATAGGTCTAATGTAATCAAGATCTTAATTTTACACACAGTTTCTTCACTGCTCTTGAGGGTCCCCTTTATGAAGACAAAGATCTTTTAGTTTTGGACAGTACATATTTTGCCTTCCAAATCAAAAGCACTCTTTTGCAACTGCACATTTTATTTCCTACACTCTCTACCAACTTTAACAAGTGCTAATATCCAATATCAAAAATGTCTGTTCAGCCCCTGGAAAAACCCTGTGCCATTAAACCCATGCCCCCGGATGAATTTATTCTCAACAAATTTTCTTTTAAGTGTTCTCATCTGAATATTAGCATCAGACAGGAGTTAAACGATCTGCTCTCCCTGATCTCAGAGCTACACAATTATACAGTATATAGCTTACTCCAAAAGCTATGACAATAAATGAAACAATGATTTCAGGAAAGAAAAAAACCCCAAACCCACAAATTCCCCAAAGCACCACAATAAAAGTATCATAGCTTCTACAGACACTTGCAAATGTTTATGCTTAAGACACAGTACAGATAGTATCTTTGAATAAAACACAGCTACTACTGTTTTTCAGCAGATCAAACACATGGAAAGAGAGGACTCTTCTAAAGACAAACTGCAAGCCAAACAAATAAGCAAACAAACCCCAAACCCACAAAATTTCCATTTAAAACTTGAATAGTTTCTCAGACTTTCTCCTCCCCCTCCCCAAACACTTGGTCATAACATTTTTAAAAGGCAGACATTAATTTATTTATTTTTGCTGCACAGCATTAGCAAGACACTTGGAAAATATGAGCAATGCTCTTGCAGAATTGTAATCTACGTCATTACAATAAAGCTCTTGTTCTTGACAAGAAAGATCACAGAGTTCAACAGCACAGAGTACCACTAGCTAGGTCTAATCATTTTTTAAAGTTTATAGGCTACAGTTGGCATCCTCAAAGACATTAAGTTGACTACATACCTTTTTTTGATCTAACTGTAAAAAATGTGAGGTAAGATAATTACAGAGGTATTTGCTGACCCTTCTCTGTTAGAGCAGTAGTTTGCCATTTCCAAAAATGAAAAAAACCAAATCCCCACAAAACTTGTTAATCACTTCTAAGTGCATTCTTTCGACAGTTACAACTGATACTACAGGATTCTTAATTAAGCTGAGAACAAAACCTTACAAGATGCAATACCTAAAGGGTAAAGTGTCTTACTTTGAACTGGGAATAAGCAACAAATATCTAGCAAGATAATTAACCAATTTAGCAGATTACTGAGGAGCATGACAAACTCCCCCATCACTTGGAATCTTCAAATTAGAAGCCGCAGTTCTATTCAACAGGTAAATTTTCGTTTCCCACAACTAACTACAGCAGAAGTTAGAGTGAAAGTTATGGCCTCCGTTGTTAAAATAATTTATATATAATCAGAGTAGCTGATCACAATAGCCCTCTTCAGCCTCAAAAACTAAGCACAATAAGATATTGACATTCATATCAAAATACTTATATTATTATGTGGGTTAAATCACACTTCATTCACAGCAAGCTGCCAAATGCCACTGGCTAGAAGGAAAAATGATACAAACTTATATATAATCAGAGTAGCTGATCACAATAGCCCTCTTCAGCCTCAAAAACTAAGCACAATAAGATATTGACATTCATATCAAAATACTTATATTATTATGTGGGTTAAATCACACTTCATTCACAGCAAGCTGCCAAATGCCACTGGCTAGAAGGAAAAATGATACAAACCAATCATTTCCCAGAAAAAAAAAAGAAGTGAAAAGCTGCGTTGATACTTTCAGATCAGTTTTTCTCACTTTTACCAAAAAGTGGGCTACTGGGGTGACATAAAAAAAGGTAAGAACAAGCTGGTCTACAACAGTGAACAAAGGGAAAGAATCAGAGGAGAAACAGACTGGGAAAAATCGCACAGAAGAGCACAGTTTGCACTCTCTTTCCACACAAAATGAACTGACTCTTACCTGAAAATCCTCTTTTATAGCTTGTAGGTTATATGCGAAGAACTTCTGATAATGTTGGAAGAGCAGAGTCAACAGAATTGAGATGGCACTTGGGACTAATAACAGACTCTTCGACAAAGGTGCTTTATCTTAAAGACAAAAAACAAATAAACAAAAAGCCATTTTAGAGAAAAATCTCTCACATTTAAAAAGTGACATATTTAAACAAGTGACTGGAAAACATAAGACCAGTGGCACCACCTTGACTTTTTATCTCAACAACTTCCCGAGTTCTCAACAACTTGCAAATACATAGGAAAAACACACCAACCAAAGGAAGTCTTTGGAGATATTAAAGACAGTTAAATATTAATCAGACATTTTGTTTTCAACATTCTCTCATGAAATTATTTCTTTGGCTATAACTAAACCAAAGCACTCTGCACCTATGGAGGTCATACCCTCCTGTGCAGCCCTCTTAAGGCTCAATCATGTTTCAGGAAATAAAACATTCACTTTTTTTTGTCAGCAAAATAGACATGCAAGTCTAGTCAAAACAAATACCTTTGTTTCCTTTGCATTAGAGATTAAAATTAGTTTTTATTCTAGAGGCTATGAAGCAGGAACCACCTGAATAAGTGTCAAGAATAAACTGACTTTCTCTTCACCGCACTTGGATCCACCATTCAAGGAAACGTATCTAATTTACATTATATTCATCCTCCTTCCATTCAGTCATTACAATTATTAATAAAGAAATTAATAAAATCAGGACTTTTGTGAAATCAGAACTTCTTTCCCCCTAGTAGCATGACTTTCAGAAAGGACGCTCAGAAGCAAGCAAGCAGAGAACATCTGCAATACACATTTACTAAAAAGCGTCAAGTGGAACATCCACCAGGAGTATACCCAGCAATTCATCCTAAGCCGTTAGTGTGGTTGATGCAACAAAACACAAACTCTTACCCAACAATTCACGCCAATACAGAAACTCTGAAACATTATTTCTTCTATGACTTTTCCCCTTTTCACACATGCAACTTTGATCATATTTACTCCCTTTCCAAACATCCCAGTTATAGCACGGAATCTACTGATTTTCAGACAACTGCTTTTTTGCAGAGTATTATGAAATCCGCAGCTCTGTTGTCATTCTTCTTAGGTTACAAAAGGAGCAATAAGACTACCTTAAAATTACTAATGGGAAGTAAAGAGCAGGAGCACAGGAAGAACAAAACTGCATTAAAAAAGTGTAATACAGGAAACATTTAGTACATATCCAGATAAACTGACTACCATGAATGATTCTGTCAACATCTGCTGCACACTAGAAGAGTGGACTGCTAGAGAAGGAAGATGGTAATAGGCACCAAAGCCAAGATTTTAATCATGGCACAATCCCACTGCCATTGAAAATACGGTTCTTACTATATAATTTAAGCATGATCCTCATCCAACTACTAATTGAGGACATCAAGAACAACTTTGATGGGCACTGTTAGCTGTCCTCAGCTCATACCACCTTGAAGTCTGCAGTCTTCTGATGTTCACTATGTAAAGAAAACATCTCTTCCTATGGGTATCGTAACATAAACTTGTGCTTAAAACTCTTCTTCCAGTCCATAATCATACCTTTGAGTTCATTATTTACAGACTCACCTGCCTTACTCCACTTAAGCAATTAACGTCTTGAAGAACTATCCTTTTATAGAAATTAGGCAGTGACTTGGATTGACACAGGTTGACGTTACTCTGCTAACCATAAGCTCTTCTTTTATGATTAGATTGTGTGAGATACATCAGGAGGGCAGAAGGCCTGGTTGAATTTTTTTTACTGCAAGAAAACTATCCACCTTTCAATTTAATATCTTTCTTTGGACTTTTTTTTCTCTCCAAAAATAAGGTCTATAGTCTTTAGACATCCATTTTAAAAATTATTCATTCCTCTGATTTAGTTGGACACTTCAAAAAAGTTTGAAGCCATCAGAGTACTGTAGAACGCTGAGGGAAAGAAGAAGCTGGAGCTGCCTGAAAGTTACTGTGTATACTATGCACACACATATTCACTTGAAACCTCAGGCAATGCTCCCTTAGTTAACTTAACTTGTTAAATTAACATTTCTTAATGTGAAAAGGTCAGTTTTACAACCAGGATACAACAGATATTTGAAAGTACAGCCTAAATCCTAATAACAGTAGTAGTCACAACAGCAGACATTTCTGAACCAAAGTCTGATAAGACTTGTTATTTTACTATCAACTACATTTATGTTATTTCATGAGTTTAAATAAATTTTTACAAGAAGTCATTAATCCTGTAATACTTTTCACATAAAGATCACATTACCACAGAAAACGTGACACGCAAATCACTAGATTTCCCACCGTGACTATATATTTCTATATAGGTTTAATATTTATATTTAGATTTTACTGTAATTTTAATATCATTAGATAATTTTTACATTACAGGTAATACACACCTGAAATACTTTATCCTATCAAGTTCATTCCTACTTTGAATGCATTCAAAAATAACCAACCAACAGAACTTCTCCTGTTTTCTCCAAAAGTGTGAACACACATTTTTATTATAAGCCTCCTTTTAGCTTTCACCTTAGACACTTTAAACCTTGTTATAGAGGACAAGTACTTATTTTTAAGCATGTCACCAAGCGAAAAACCACAGAAGTAACTAACCCATTAATGTGACAGTCACCCACAGGGAACATCACATGAGTAACGGAAACTTCTACTCTCAAGCTTCTCAAAATGTCATCATGGTTGACAAGCTTATTCTTGTCCAGTAAAATTAAGAAAGATAAACTCTTCCAGATAAACAACGCACCTCCTGAAATGTTTTTTTCCAAGTGTTTCACTGTACAATGGAGAAGTTTGCTTTACCCCTCAACAGCATATAGACCCTTATCAAGGACTGCTGTGAGGTCACCAGTGAAGGAGCAACCCTCTCACTGCTGTGGAACATCTCAACCAGTAAGACCAAAAATGACTAACAATCCCAGATACTGCACAGCTGGGCATTCTGACATCCAAGTCAAATTCCTTACTTAGAAGGTAAAGGTAAAATTTAGAAAGCAAAATTCTAGTCCGATGGATTTGCAACCGCGTGCAGGATGGAAACATGTACTCCAACCTACCAGGGTACCAGTGTCTACTGGCAGCACCAATGCAAACGTGCACAAGGAAAAAAACACAGTGCCTCTATACCACATAAAGAAAGTAGAATGAAAGGATAAACTCTCATTTTGACCCTGAAGAGTTAAAATACATCAAATACTATCTCCAAAGACCTTGGAATACATTTCCAGCCCCAAAGTACTCCTTAAGTGGCAATTCTTCCAACCAACAGGCAGTAATAGCATTTGTGCTGCAACACACATACTGAGCTTCCATCTAAGTGAACAGAGAAATTTTTAATAACCAGCAGAACATGCCCATGCTATGATGAAGAGCAAAGAACTAGCTTTCACTACAGATGTTTACTTCCCCCTGGTGTGATGGAGAAGTTCTCCCCAAAACTGCCCTCATAATCTCACAGGCAAGCGTCCCAACCTTTGTGCTACTGCTGCGCAACGTGAAGCTGATCCTAAAATGCGACGTGAATGAGAACCACCTCTAAGTCTCCACATTCTACCCCTGCACTCATTACAAAGCCCACAAATCCTCTTCTTCCACAAGCTACTACTTTTCTGGCTGCCAGTACCAATTTCAAAGTACACAGAGTTAAGGAATAATGTGTCCGTCTGTCACAAACAGAGGAGGAGGTTTATGGCACAACTGCTCAGGTAGTTGCAGCTTCAGAAGCCACCATTAATAAGAAGAATACAAAAGTTGTGGTAGCAGCAACAGCTACAGTTTTTCAAACGATTTCCTGTTCCCTGCCTGTTCACCACTCGCAGGTGAAGGGGGATAGCAGATGAGCATGTCAAAACGGGCAGCCAGACCAAGCTACTGTTTCAGAAGGGCTTTACGGGGAACAACTTCACCCCCTGGACCGCTATTCTGGGCCCGAGACTCAAGTGTTGACTTGGGAGAGTACCTCATTCTCAATGCCAGCTGATGAGCAGCGGCTGCAGAAGCTCAAATTAGCTCGGGACAGTTTTTGTGGGGATCCCTACTGAGCTTACACCACAGCTGCAGACAAAACATGCTGCGTAACAGCTTTTTTTTCCACTATCATCTGCAAACTTCCCAAACCCAGCTGCTATGAGGCAGACACGCCACTTTCATACAGCCAGTTAACTGCTGGGAGCTACTATAATGGCACGAACCATTTTTTAATGCTAATACACAAGATCTGTGAGTCTTTTAAACCGTAAGTGATGCACATCTGAATGCACAGTACCTCCCAAATACACTGATGGAACCTGTATTTTGGGTGGTTGTTTTTCCTGCATTAAGCCATCATGCAGGTACTTATCTGTTGTATTCCAAGATCTGTCCAAGAACCTGCAGCAGGTTCACCAGCCTACAGTGACGTTTCAAAACGGTCAGAGTTTTCAAGGACTCTTGCCTACTGTTTTCCCTTCAGATGCAAGTTTGCTACACATCAAACAGCAGCATCAACACCTCCTCCTGAATGCTTGGAAACCTTGCTTATCCTTTATTGTAATGGCTGATGAAACCCACTGTCAGATATTCAGATCTGAAAAGTAATTTTTAAGTGCTTCCTAGACACGAACACGCGCTTTTGGGAGACTGGAACAATCTTACTAGATCCGAGGAGTAAAAGCTTGTCTTCATTATAACCACGCACTGAGTCCTGAACAGCAGCCAAGAACACATGAGAGCATGCCACGGAGGGAGGATGACAAGAGATACGGACACAGGTAATACTGCTGGAGGAATCTGGAAGACACCAGGACACTGTGTGCTGACTGGTAGAATGGAATTTAACCACATGATGATTTTTTTAGAGTTGGTTAAATCCGGTGTAAGTATTTTTCTAATATTTCATCCTTTGAAAAAAACCAAACAAACAAACATGCAATACCAGAGGACCCTTCAAAAGCAGTGAAGTTACTACTGCCTGAAAATACTACATGACTGAATAAGGCATTCTGGGTCAGGAAAGCAGCTCTTGCCCCTGGTCTAGGCACAGAGCACAGACACAGGAAGGGGATTCTGT